TAACTCACTCACTCACTCACTCACTCACTCACTCCTGTTGCGTTGTGGTACAGGATGTCATGGTTAGTGGTACAAGTGGCGAAATAAAACGAAGTCGTGATTCTTTTGAATGTTATTTTCTTGCATCATTCATCATAGAAGATGATTTTCTCTTATCCCCCATAAGACATGTGTTGAATACGTCACAACGTATGTAAACAGTACTGAGCCTGTCCCTAAGGGGATGTACAAAAGTCCAAAGTTCCTATTATAGTAGTGGGGCCTACAAGGTTTCCTCTTATGTAAGGGGGCGGTTGGGTAGCATAATGGCCTATAAGCGTTCGCTCGTCACGCCGAAGACACGGGTTCGATTCCCCACATGGGTACAATGTGTGAAGCCCATTTCTGGTGTCCCCGGTCGTGATATTGCTGGAATATTGCTAAAAGCGGCGTAAAACCATGCTCACTCACTTATACCGTGGATATAACGTATGGAAACGGAGCCGAGGAGCTAACGTGATTTAATCAAATCACTCAATCATCGTATGTAAACGTCCATTAACAATTTAATCTGACAGGAGATATTAAAGACAATTGCAATATGACTTATATATAATGTAATGTGATGTAATAGATTAACAGGAACTGGGATGATACAAAGTTTTATTTGAATCTGATTATTGTTTAGCGACTCATCTGTAGTCGTGTAGCTATTCGCGGCTATTGCCGGTTAATTAAAAGTTCTGAATATTTTATGATAATATAATATATATTATATAATGTTCTGAATAATTTTACTGATTGATATGAAGATGAGTGTTCCGTTCCGTTAGATTTTGTCGGTTTTGTTGGTTTTGTTAACTGTTAAAATTATATATATTATCAAAATAATTATAGTCATGTGACACACAAATCATGTCAATTTTTCATCGCCTTTTTATGGCGTTAACATGGTCAACCAACAATGTAGCATAAATAATTTTCTAGTAGAGTCGCGCTATATGATTATTTTCGGTGTGCATTATATCTGGTATTTGATTTGATTTGTTTGTTGTTTACCACCGCACCGGAATAGTCCAGCTATATGGCGGCAGTCTGTATATAATCAAGTCTGGACCTGACAATCGGATACGATGACGTGTAACCCAAGTCCGCGAGCCTGAACCCCGATCCCGTTAGTCGCCTCTTCCGACAATGAAGCATGGGTTGCTGACCCGGATCTCCACGGGTCTATAGCTGTTACAAAAACCTTATTAAGAGGCACATAACGTGTTCATGATGAATTTCTAATATAGGTTTGACATTCTACTCACAGTCCTACATGTTGGATCCCAGCCTACACTATTCATTCATGCGTAAGCATGACAACAATGAATTATTTGTTATCCGCTAGTGGTACTCTGCTATCTCCCGCTTTTAAAAACATCCTTTAATAAAGAAATTAATAATCTATGTACAATAATATGTTTATATACAAACTCAGCGAAGCCAAAGTGTTATACGACGACAGCTAAGCGTACAAAACGAAGGGCCCTGTCGCGAAAAGCTCCGCTCTTTGCCCTTGATGCTCATGGTGTCAACCACTAGTTTTGTGGACTATTTACAGATCACCTTCGTATATCTAGAACTTACTGAGTGGCGTGATACAGTGAGTGAGTTTATATTTAAGCCGCTTTAAGCAATATTCCAGCAACATCTCTGCTGGGGGACACCAGAAATGGGAGTCACACATTGTACCCATTTTGGGATTCGAACCCGGGTCTTCGGCGTGACGAGATGCAAGAACAAACAACAAATAATCAGTTTGTTGTAGACCTGTTTTCCTTCACACTTGAGTTTCCGGAGTGTAAGTAGAAGGGTACATGTAAATATCACCGAGGGTGAGTGTGTTGCCCTTAGCTACAGCAAACCCTCTTTGTTGAGGTCATACTAACAGGACGCTCGCTTATTTACCTTGGAGCCCAGAAAAATACGACGGATGTATTGGCATAATACACAGGTTGTTCTCACCCGCTAGACAGGTGGAGGTTTGTACACACCGTTTGTCGCATGAGTGAGCTTGTGCCGCGTGACATTATGAGTGTACGTGGCCTGCTTGTAAAGTACCGTATAATAAAAATCGGGTGTTCTGCAAAACGAGCCTGACCTCAGACCACCACCCTGCATTAACCCTGTTGACAATATTAACAATGTACAGACTTCATCTCATCTTTAGAATATACCCCGTTTAATGAATAGCCCAGGGGTACAGAATTAACCCATGCACATATTAACCCTGAGTACGAGCTTTGTCTCGAGTCCGGGGTGGTGGAGTAGCCCAGTGGTTAAAGCGTTCGCTCGTCACGCCGAAGACCCGGGTTCGATTCTCCATATGGGAACAATATGTGAAGCCCATTTCTGGTGTCCCCCGCCGTGTTATTGCTGGAATATTGCTAAAGGCGGCGTAAAACTAAACTCATTCACTGAGTCCACACATTCTTGAACACATATAACACATTTCTGTGTCAGCGACACCGTCAAGGTTCGGGTTTATGGTGGCAAAATCGTCTGAGATGCCGCAATTTGCATTGCAGAGTTGCGCCCATTGGGCACGCGGGAAAGCTAGGATTTTTTGTTCGATTCCAGGTTCGGTCCGATTTTGTTTCTAGGTTTATCAACACCATCAGTGCTCGCGGGTTTCACCAAAGTTGTAAACATCAGTGAACCGCATCAATTTGGGCATTCCTACCCAAACTGGCGCGAAACGACGGGAATGGAGTAATGTTTGAAGCGGCGTCAAACCCAGCCCACTCACTCGCTCGCTCGCTCACGCACGCACGCACTCATGCACTCACCCACCCATGTCGTAAGCGGCAGCGAAGGGGGTCGGGTGGTCTGGCTCGCTGACTTGTATGATACGTGTCATCGTATTGCAGTTGAGTATATGCTCATGATATCAATCACTAGATTGTCTGGTCTACACTCAGTTCGCAGTGAAATCGTTGAACTATTGACTGCTGCGCTAGGCAACAGGTAATAAACAAGACTTGACCTACAACACTGACATGCCCCAAGTACATATGGGTTGTTTTAGTAGAAAATCTTAATCAACATTTGAGCTATAAAATATCGTCGAGACGGAATATACTTGAATGCTTTAACAAATATATGACGATCAATAAAAGTTAAACAAATATTTGTAGTAGCTGGAATATATCGATGACACTTCAGGTGTGCCCAGTGCATACCGTGGTCCAAGTTATAAGTACTACAGCTTCCTGCTTAGAACTGTTAGATGAACCAGTCCGTGGTTGTCTTTCAAACTGTGAATTCGATATTTGGGTTCAGCAAGTCGTGATGGTCGGAAAAGGAAACTAACGTTACCGGGTGATCAGGCTCGCTGACGTCGTTGATAATTGCCATCGCCACAAATCTATTCAGTTTGCAAACCCTAAACTGTCATTTTCAGTAGAGCTCGGTGTGAGTTTGTGGGTGTGTACCAGCAGAGGCCAAGTGGTCACAGCTGTCACCCGTCACGCCGGGTGACGATTCCCCACATGGGAACAATATGTGAAGCCCATTTCTGGTGTCCGCCGCCGTGATATTGCTGGAATATTGCTACAGCGGCGTAAAACTATACTCACTCACTATTGGACCGAAAGAAATATTACTAGACTGGGGCTTCTGACTCGTGTCTGAACCCGCAGACTGCAGTTAATTAAAACTGCCACTAGAGACATGGTTAATGCAGTGGTGCATAAACAAGTATCGCTCTACCAGGACATGAGGCCAGATGTGTACATCCGTGATCATAGTCGGGTGCGATGTCAGGCTGACCTCACATGAACACAATAAAATAACATTTATCGATTAAATGAATGTACAAATTGAATGTATATAGCCGGCTACGCAGCGTTGTCTAGTGGTAGATGTAATATACATTTTGAGGTCAGGAACTGCACCCTGAACATAGCCATGACACTGCCTAGAGCCTATCCTTTCTTTGTAAAAGAAGGGAGCTGTGATAACCAGGTGCATTCTTTCTGCGTAATTGTCAACTTGGTGTGCAAGACTTGCAACACATAAGTTCGTGGGGCAGCGGGGTAGTATAGCGGTTAAAGCGTTCGCTCGCCAAGTCGAAGGCCCTGGCTCGATTCCCACATTGGTACAAGGTGTGAAGCCCTTTTCGACTAACTGTTACTAATCGACGTAAAACACACCTTACTGGCACACATACAGTCTCTATAACAACAACAACCCGACCCCCCACCCCCACCCCTTGTTACAGGACAGATATTCACGGGTTCGATTCCCAGTTGTGTCCCCATAATGGTCTATTACGGTACATGTGGTTGCAGGGACGGTGGGGTATCCTAGTGGTTACATTGTTCACTCAACACGCAGAAGACCATGATTACAACAATGCCATTAAGAACAAACCTCTGCTGGTGGGGATTTCTGGGCTCAAGAACAAACCTCTGCTGGTGGGGGTTTCTGGGCTCAAGAACAAACCTCTGCTGGTGGGGGTTTCTGGGCTCAAGAACAAACCTCTGCTGGTGGGGGTTTCTGGGCTCAAGAACAAACCTCTGCTGGTAGGGGTTTCTGGGCTCAAGAACAAACCTCTGCTGGTGGGGGTTTCTGGGCTCAAGAACAAACCCTGCTGTTTCTGGTCAGGGGGTTTCTGGGCTCAAGAACAAACCTCTGCTGGTGGGGGTTTCTGGGCTCAAGAACAAACCTCTGCTGGTGGGGGTTTCTGGGCTCAAGAACAAACCTCTGCTGGTGGGGGTTTCTGGACACAAGAACAAACCTCTGCTGGTGGGGGTTTCTGGACACAAGAATTAACCTCTTTTCTTGGGGAACCCATGAGACAGAAGAACAAATCATGATGCAGCTTGAATACAGCCGTAAAACAACATTTTCTGTCATAACGTTTTTAGTTAAACACTTACAATGGTGTAACAATGTTATTATTGTTTACAGTCGTTGGTCTGGTGCAGCAGCGTCTTTGTCAGCCCTCATTGTGTATCTTTGGTTTATTTCAGACATGACGTCATTCCTATCGTGATGGGAGGATCTCCGTCGGACTACAGACGCTCTGCTCCTCCTCATTCCTTCATCCACGTGGACGACTTCGAGAGCCCCAGTGCTTTAGCTGAGTATTTGAAGAAGCTAGACCAAGACGAAGACTTGTATAATGAGTATTTTCAATGGAAAGGGACGGGATCGTTCATTAATACATTCTTCTGGTGCAGGATTTGCAGTCTGCTGCACGACGTTGATTCTAGGCCGCCATCTTGGTTTTCTGACGTTGAAAAATGGTGGCGTGGACCAAATGTTTGTATAGGGAAGGAATCATGGCGGAATCAATCGATGGACCTCAGCTGAGTGGCATCGAGATGTTGAGACCAATACTATCGTCTGTGATCTTCTGTGATGCAAGAGTTATCTACCGTAACGGGGATTCCCCGTCGACCGGCAAATCCAGTCTTTTGCTGCCTTCGGACAATCTGCGTTCTAAGATGCAATATTTTTATAATTATTTTCTAAATCTAAATTACCAACATTAGGAGAAGATGTGTTTATATTCGTATGTGTCGCATTTGGGTTAAATGTGCATATGCATGGGCAGAAATCTCCTTAGAAACAGGTTCAAGTTTGGTCGGAAGGTTCCGATTGTTGTGGGAATTTGTGAACATAGTCATTGGTGTGGTGTGTGGGGATGTCTATTTTTAGTTAAAGTCACACGCTCAAATCGATTTTGTGATGAGTTCTCTTTCTATTCTTTGCTAAGAACGTTCTCCATTAAAACCTGTATGGTTGTAACTATAGCTTCGCAGTCCCTAACTTCGCTACCACAACCATGAGATGTTCGGCGGGTGATAGAGAACCAGGTTCGATCCGTCCGTATTTCTGTTTATTCGCAAGTCACACTTTTCGAATTCCCGACGTAGGCCTCAAGCCGTTATGAATAGGCTCATTGAACAAAGGCTCCATTTTTTCATATTTACTATTATCAGTGTCTCTGAAACATTCAAATTAAATTCGAAAATGTTGCTAAGCTTTTTATTTACATAGACACCATCACTGTATTACTGATAACGTTACACTGTATTCTTGGACTGATTCCAGAATTTCGTAATTCAACTCCTCTTATATAAGTCTCAGTAATTCTACGGTTCTTCCCATCAGTGGGCTTTCTTGGTTTCCTGGGGCGGTGGGGTAGCCTAGTGGTTCAAGCGTTCGCTCGTCACGCCGAAGACCCGGGTTCGATTCCCCACATGGGTACAATGTGTGAAGCCCATTTCTGGTGTCCCCTGCTGTGATATTGCTGGAATATTGCTAAAAAGCAGCGTAAAACCATACTCACTCACTCACTCACTCACTCTTGGTTTCCTTGTTAACGTTGTGATGTAATTATTCAAAGTCGTCTCAGTCCTACTTATTGAGAAACCCACAGATGGTTGATGTGTTGGGTATATTGTCGACCACCTTGTGTGTGATGGACCGTTACCACAGCGGGGCCGGTGGGGTACCTAATGGTTAACGCGTCCGCTCGTCACGCTGAAAACCCGGATTCGATTCTCCACATCGGTACAATAAGTGAAGCCCATTTCTGGTGTCCCCCGTCGTGATATTGCTGGAATATTGCTAAAAGCGGTGAAAAACGTAACTCACTCAATGTAATGAAGCCGGCGACACGAGCATTTCATAGATTTCGGCTTAAAATGACCACATTCTCCCACAGTAAATATTTATGTCTATACAAATATATACGATTAACGCTGACAGAGGTATGTCATATGTATATTCATGAGGACGTGGAGGATCAAGTGCTGCTGATTAAATAGTTAAGGTTTGTGGGAATAAAATGAATTCATTTAGATAGGACTGATTAGTGAGGTGACATCATTCCATGAAACCACGTAAGTTAGCCATTCATGTTCAGGGTTGTATTATAGACTACAGCGGAAATAATTTATGAATGTTCTGTTCCCCTTTACAGTCCGTTTGAGTCAGAAACGGACCGATGAATTGCAAATTTTATCATTGTACAAAATTGCCACATAAATATAAATAGTACACATGTTTATCATTTACTAATACCCAACAGCTTTCTTATATTTGAAAATTTTCCGGACTCCACCAAAAAAGTTCTTTAAGAAACTATCATTAAAATTTTGACACAGTTCACTATTTGTTACGAGGGAGGAGTGCAGAGAAAGGGACAGCCAGGTGTGCGAGAAAGGATGGAGACGGCACAGCACAGGTTAATGAATCAATAACATGGTGGGCACTTGTGCACATGCTTCTCTAACACCTGGCTGTCCCTTTCTCTGCACTCCTCCCTCGTAACAAATAGTGAACTGTGTCAAAATTTTAATGATAGTTTCTTAAAGAACTCTTTTGGTGGAGTCCGGAAAATTTTCAAATATAAGAAAGCTGTTGGGTATTAGTAAATGATAAACATATGTACTATTTTTATTTATGTGGCAATTTTGTACAATGTTAAAATTTGCAATTCATCGGTCCGTTTCTGACTCAAACGGACTGTAGCTGGTATTTTTGTGTAATTGATAACCTGTGTATTGTATGTGTCATTGAATTTGCATAACGTTGAATGCTTAATCGGAATACATGTTACAAATTAGGCTCAATGATGGGTTGAAATATTAACAACATGGCGGCCAGTCCCATTGATTATGGGTTGGGTCAGTTCTGCGAGAAATTCAATATTGGAAAACTGACTGACGCACAAACAAAATTCCTAAACAGTCTTTTTGATTTTGATGATGTTTTCATATCAGTTCAAACATGGCGGTGACTTTGGGTTCTAGGTGATACGAGTTATCTCCCTTACCTCTTCCCTCATGTCGACGTTTGATTGGTCGGGTAACTTTCGATCGCAAGAACCACAGGCATATTTTAATCGCTGTTAATACCAGATTATGATTGACGTAGCAACTATTTTTTATTTTTGAAAGAATATTTTTTCGGTTTTTTTTGGCACAGACACGCTATACTCTTGGTGTTTGGGAAGGGTTGAAGTGTTGGGATAAGGCGGTTGTCTGGATACCGGGAAGACTTTTCAACCACCCTTAAGTTGTGCAAACGGTTTAACTAAACACATAGCAGCTCTTCTTGAGTTAATCAAACACGACCCAGCGTTACATCCATCAATTGTACAGAGGGACTGCACGCTTGAATTGCTAAGTAAACCACAACGGCCCACCGTTATTTGAGAGGCCCAGTCGTCTGAGGGCTGACAGTCGCTCTGCAGAGTTATGTCCCTTGATTGTGTGTGTTTGATTCCCATTTACCGTTATCGTTGAGGTTTGTCAGCTAATCGAGTCACTTGTGAAGAATTTTTATCGAAAAGTCGTCAATAACGATTTTAAAACATCCCTTGTATACCACACACAAGACATTAGGTAACCACCGATTCCTTTGTACATTTTCACTTGCTACAGATCAACTATTGTATGAAAGAATATCTGCCGTTTAACCATCGTACATAGAGGACAAACTTGTTTTCATTAACCTCTCTTGAGCAATGGGCCTGTGGACCCAGTTTGACCCTGTTAGAGTTCAACTTAAGCAACTCCGGTGCAGTCCCTTTAAATCGAATCTCAAGTATGTAACGAAATCGGGTTGTCATCTGAATGTGGCTGAACAGACTGGACATGGTTTTGTTTGATTGTGTAAATACTGAGATTGTTATAGACTTGTTGTTTATGTTAGTTTATGACGTGTTAATGAAGTTTGTTACATGTTTGCAAAGACTTCCATTTCATGAAAAACACACCATCAGCGTGTGTCCAGGTTTCCATACCTGTGTGGGACATCCTTGGTTTTGTATTGACAAATGTGTTAGTTCCCACACTGCAGTGTATAATTATCATGATACATGATTACTTTCTTCATCGAGGGGCTGTGGGGTAGCCTAATGGTTAAAGCGTCGGCTCGTCACGCTGACGACCCGGGTTTGAATCCCCACATGGGCACAATGTGTGAAGCCCATTTATGGTGTCCCCCGCCGTGATATTGCTGGAATATTGCTAAAAGCGGCGTAAAACCCAACTCACTCACTCACTCACTTTCTTCATCCTTTGGTTAGTCTCTGGGTTCATCGATGGGGATTGCTTGACGTTACGTTTAAGTACAATCAGTGAATTGTGACTAGATACTGAGATGTCATAAGAGATAATTGTCTCACAGGCTCCTTTAACCCCGACCTAGACGTGGCAATGAGACATATTTAAAATGTAGACTGTTTCTGTGTAACTGAAGTATTCGATAGTTGCGTAAGGGGAGCGACGGGTAATTTCGGTTGGTAGATTTACTGTGTGGAGTGTGAAAGAAGCTTGCTTGCGTTGCCGACATGCCGGAATTCTGGACATCTTTGCGCTGTGCTGTGACAATAGTGTGAATTTAGTTTGTGTGATATTGAACACGCCCAGGTACGCACGCTCGAACGTACGCACAGACATACACGCACACGAACGTGCATACACACATTGAGACTCTCTGTACGCACACGCACACCTACACGTACGTACACGCGCACAAATTCAGGGAAAGATATATAAACATAAGTTAGTAGACATGAATAGATTGTATAACTCAGATATTTAAATGTTTTGTTAAGAAGTAGAGCTCCAATATCTGTGGAGGATAAACTAGTGCTCTTGTTCCACGAAACCATCTTCGTAGCGCTAAGGTCAACTTATGGAACTGGGTTCCGAAACGTTCCACAAAGCGTTCGTAACGTTACGACCTGTCGTAACTCTCTAATTTGTCATAGGCTACGGATGTCGTGGCGCTACGAACGCTTTGTGGATCGGGACTGGCAGTCCACTAAAACCTTTACGACTTCTCTGCCACCATTGGGGCTGTGGGGTAGCCTAGTGGTTAAAGCGTTCGCTCGTCACGCTGAAGACCCGGGTTCGATTCCCCACATGGGTACAATGTGTGAAGCCCATTCTGGTGTTCCCTGCCGTGATATTGCTGGAATATTGCTAAAAGCGGCGTAAAACTAAACTCAGTCAGTCAGTCAGTCTGCCGCCATGTGTAGTGTGTCCTTTACCAGGATCCGCTGACCGCGGGTTCGAATCCTTCAGCTCATGCTCTGTGTCATACCCTGCTTGAGGTTTCACCACAGATTAAAAAAAACACGACTTGCATTGTGTGCAAGGTGACATACTGTTGAAACGCCCATCCTCCCACCACAGAGCGTTGTTGTGCAGAGGCATGAGAAGGGCACGTGGACTCCGGCTTCGTGCAAGACTGATAATCAGATGCTTACGTTGTCAGGTTGTGATTTCACGTAGCATCATTTAAGGTTATATCATAGAAGATAACAATTAATTTTCTGGTGATAACGTTTCTGTTTACTTTGCTGGAGATTTAGCCTGCCTGATAAATCAGCTCGTATTTGCATGTCTGAAAAAGGCGCCAATTCGTCCATGCCCGGTAAAGGCGCCAGTAACTGCATGTTTCCATGTCTGGCAACGGCGTGTAGTGATCGTACGTAAGAAAGACGTAAGATCTCCACAAAGGCGCTAACATCTGCCTCTAAACGATACAACAGTTCAAATAGTTACGATGCCACCTCTACGACTACAGTGCCCAGATCCCCAAAGCGTTCGTAACGTTACGACCTGTCGTAACTCTATAGTTTATCAAAGGCTTACGGATGTCGTTGCGCTAAGAACGCTTTATGGATTTGGACCCAGGGCTCCGTTCCATAAAGCAATCGTAGCGCGACGACTGTC